CTCACACCTCTGTCCTCACATCCCCTCCCATCAACAAAAACAAAAATAAAGACATTTAAACTTTTAAACTTTTAAACATTTAAACTTCATTGTTTCTTTTGTATTCCAGGACATTTATAGCAATGTAGAGCCACAGTCTGCCAACAGGCATGATGGCAATTGGTGGACGGAAGTAGCCAATTTGGCGAACTGCACAATCGGTATTCCCATGTCTTGGTTAAAGGGCAGGAAGCATTTTAATGACCCAAAGAGATTCTGAAAAAAAGTATGTAGAGTAGCTGATCCATACACAGCACCTCCTGTAGTGTTAAAAAAAAATCCCCTCACCTCTGACTTATCACTTCTAAGTTCCACAAATTCACTCATGGTGCACCATCGTTGCACAACCTCATCTCTTCATTTATCAACAGACCATTGTCACCTACTCCAATTATTATCCAATGTAATGCATCGACTCAGTAGCAGCAGTCCATTCAGTGATATGCACCATCAGGTGCACCCACCATAGGCGTCCTTCGCTGATTCACAGGTCAGTTTTTTTTTGTACCAGAAGAGTGCACAAACTGTAAGGGAGAAGGAGATGACTGAAACTAGGCCACCTCAAATTGCCCAGTTCACAGATGCAGAAAAAGATGCCATAGAGAAAATTTGCACTTTGTATCTCTCAATTAGAGATGGGGAGGCTGGAAATTCACAGATAGCTTGAGGTGGAATTAAAAACACCTCAGACACAGTTGTACTGAATAATTCAGTAAATCTAAATAATGAAAAATGTGTACATGGTGATTGTGAAGATTTCACTTTGCCACATTTAAACTTCGTTGTTTCTTTTGTATTCCAGGACATTTATAGCAATGTTGAGCCACAGTCTGCCAACATGCATGATAGCAATTCCTCATAGGACCTCAATCCTTCTGAAGGCACCAGTGGACATACATGCACTTTGCTGGGTCCTTTTGACAGTGTCTTGGGTTTGCTAATTCAGAAGTGATCACAAGTGGGCACTGCCAGCAAGGATAGTTGTCAAGAGTCCACGTCAGGGTGTCCAATCCTCTTGGATCTCTCTCAGCTGGACACAGAAAAAACTGAGGCCCGGGTGAACTATCATTGGAAAGGAAATACTGGATGTGCAGCAAGTGTGAGAGGTGTTGAGAGATGTAGAATCATAGAATCCCCACAGCGTGGAATCAGGCCATTCAATGAAGAATCCACAGCAAACCTCCGAAGAGCTTCCCACCAGGATCCACCACCCCTATCCTATCCCTCTAAGCCTGCATTTCCCGTGGCTAATTCACCTAGCCTGCACATCCCTGGACACAATGGGCAATTTAGCATTGGCCAATCCACCTAACCTGCACATCTTTGGGCTGTGGGAGGAAACCGGACCACCGCGAGAAAGCTCACGCAGATACCGGGAGAATGTGCAAATTTTACACAGACAGTCATCCAAGGTGGAATCAACCCCGGGTCTCTGGCACTGTGAGGCAGCAGCGCTAACCATTGAGCCACCGTGCTGCCCATATGTGCAAGTTACAATTTCCACAAAAGTTGAGAGGCTGGAGATATCCAACTCTGGAAGTAGTAAACCGATGATGCAGAGAATTGAGAAGTTGTCTGTCATGGAGGGGATAGCAATACGTAAAATGTTAAGACTGACTCTTAAATGCAGGCCATGAGTACAGCAGTACAGTCAATGTCTGCTACTCAGAACAAAATGACAGATACCTTATCTGAGGTCTTACAATGAGACACTGATTTTCAACAAGCTGCTTGCCAGCAGAATAGATGGAATGAGGTGGCTAGGAAAGAGATGATGGCCAAAGGACCCATGGAAATAGGAACTCCAATCCCGCATTCAACAGTGACAGTAACAGAGTGGTCACGTTAATAATCTAGTAATCCAGAAATCCAGATTGATACTCTGGAGATGAATTTAAATCTGCCATTTCAGCTGGGCAAATTTAAATTTCGTAAATAAATCTGGAATAAAAAGCTAGCCTTAGTAACAGTGAGTATGAAACAACTAGATTGTGAAACTCCCTGTGTTTCATTAATGTCCTTTAGGAGGACAGAAAGTCTGCCACCCTTACCCATTATGGCTTATATATCATTACATGAAACCAGGCTCAAAGCCAACACTAAGGTTCAATTCTTTGTGGGCAACAAATGATAGCCTTGCCAGAGTCATTCACATTCCATGTGAAAATAAAGAAGTAAGCTTCTTACCTTTTGACTTCCAGCGACCTAACAATAGTTGTGATGTTAGAGAGTATAGAACAAAAGTTAGTGATATATTTAACAAGAGTAATCTTTGGGTATGCAATATAAACTGGACAAACCAATTTTGTAGCAATAGTATGGAGGGTGTTCATGGAACATATTCAAGGTAGTTTTCTATGTTAGCCTGTTGAGGAACTAAGTGAGCAATAGGACATTTTACACCTAGCAACGTGCAATGAGAGTGTGTTAATCAATCAACTGGAGTAGAAGAACCTACAGGGAAATAGTGAAAACACTATGGTACATTTACTTGAGAATCATTCAGTTAAGTTCAAAACTAGGGCTTTAAAAAAGGAAACTATGGCCATAATGGATGCCTTGGTTTCCCAGAATTCCTTACATTCTAGAACAGTCCACACAGATTGCAATGCAAACTAATTCAAGAATGGAGGAATAAAGAAAACAGAACAACAGACCAGTTGTCTCACATCAACATTAGGAAAGTACTCAAATCTACTGCTAATGGTGCTGTGACAGAGCACTTAAAATATCATGATATGATTAGGCAAAGTCAAAATGAATTTAAGTAAGAGAAATCGTGTTTGACAAATCTATTAAGATATGATACTTAGATTGTCAAAAGTAATTCAAGCTTATGACAGAAAACTAGATCTCTTGGATTGGGCTGGCACTGGGATTCTGGTGGTCAACATTTTAAACTTATTTCTTTATTTCTCTATTTCTGTAACTAAGATTTTGTACCTCAGTACACTGTTCCTAAGGTGACATCATGTGTGGCAACATTATATGCTTTTCACCATACTGATGTACCCTGTACTTGAGTAGACATGACATTAAGCCCTAAATCTATTAATAAATGGTTCAGCTTTGGTTAGGCAAGTGACATATAGTACAAGCTTGAGCCTCAGTTACTTACAGTCTATGTTAGTGTGTGTGGGGACCAAGTGTATTATATCAAAAGATTTCTGATAATACAAAGTTAGGTGAAAAAACAAGCTGTGTAGCATGTGCATGGAATACAAAAGGATTTAGATAGGTTGAGTGACTGGGAAAGGCATGGCAGATGTAATATGTTATGGGAAAGTGTCAAGTTGCACATTTGGAAGGACAGTAGTAAAGCAAATTATTTGAAGTGATGATAGACTTAAGGAGTGGGTAAGGTGAGGACCCTAGGACAGGTAGTCAGAGAGTATGCTACAGCAGTGTCTTATGTGATGATAATGTGGCTTTAGGTGTTTCTGTCCCTTTTTTTTGAAGAGAGGTTTTAAGGCAGAGGTGATGATCTATCTATTAAAAACTTGTAAAGCAAACAGCTTGTGAAGCCTTTGGGTTCTTTTTAAAAGTTGGAACAATAGAAGCAGCCTGAATGGGTGTGGTCAAGCTCCCACAGAACTGGGATTTTGAGTTTTAGCTTTCAGCCATTTCTACTGGGGTCTTGAAGAAATGGAAACTATTTTTTCACTCTCTAGGTTACAGCTAAAAGCTGGGTCTTCTCTTTCTACTGTTGGAGTTGCATGTGAGGTAATCTGTTTTCTGAATTTTCACTTTATTATATTGGAACAGTTAATTGGTATTGGTTAAAAATCAATTATTCTGTTAAGTTTTCCATTAGAGTGAATTATTCCAATTTCTTCTTTCTTTAGTTGTATATTAGCTATAGTAGATGAATAAAGTGTGTTTTGCTTTAAATCCAGTAGTTTGAACAATTAGATTGCATCCAGACCAATACATTGGGTATTTGCCTTTAAAATAATAAAAAAGTTAAGGTCTAGGCTATCTTCTTAATGTATTTTGAGAGGGTCTGGTCCATAACAGTTAATATGGAGTCTGGAGAAAAGGAAAGGAGAAAGCTTTAAGTTTAAAGAGTTAATCTTGTGTAAAATCAAGCACTGTGTCTGCAATTGAGCAATTCACTTACAGTTATAAAGCAGTTTCCTTCTTGGGTAAGAGGATTTAGACCTGCGTGGGAGCCCTGACTGGAATTGCTCAATTGAGTATGAGAAACAAAAATGACTTCACAGTCACAGTTAATGGCTTGTTGAGCAATAGCTGTTAAAGACTGGTTCAGCCCCAGTAATTCTGAAAAACATAAATTTCTAAACTAGCACAGAGGAGGAAAGAAGTCATAGGCAAGGAGAGTGAGCTCACTTATCAGTAAAGGCAAAGAGTTTCTACTTTCTTACTGAGTAAACCTAATGGACAGACTGAGGGAGATAGTCAGAGTGAGACAGAGACAGAATGAATTACTGGACAATGAATCAAAGTAGAAATTCAAGTGGTAAATCTTTTACAAATTTAATTACAAAGTTAAAGCCAGAATTAGACTTAGAACCAATTGCCTTTCAGGAAGCTAAAATAACCGAGTTGAATAGGTAGCTGCCTGATATCAGCAGTTATCTATAAAACACTGATTTAGTTGTTGATTACTGTAGCAGGACGTTAAGAAAAACTAAGTGACTCAGCTCCCTGTTTAAGAAAAGCACCTTCAGCTCTGATGAAGAGTCATCTAGACTTGAAATGATAGCTTGCTGTCTCTCCATAGATGCTGCCTGACCTGCTGTGATCTCCAGCACTTGTTGTTTTCAGCACTGTTAGGTGGGTACTGTGGGGATTAGAATGCATTATTTCCCCCTCCAAATCCATTTTAATTTATATCCCTCCCACTTCCATTTATGTTGCATTGCTGCTGCTGGGTAGTGTTTGCTAATTGTTAAAATAAGTAATGCAGATGTTTTGTTGATAATCTTAAGGGGAAAGAAATGAAAAGCTCTTTCAAAGCATTTGGTCAGAGTAACCCTTATGGTCAGAGTGAAGGAGACTTTGCTGACACAGAGTGAGTAACTGAGAATTTGCGTCAAAGTGGGAATCCAGGACAGAAAGGGACAGAAGTGCGAGAGAGCGAGAGAAAAAGAGATGAATGGGGGAGGAAATGCATTCCGGATCAAGAGACCTCCCTGTGCTGAAACCACTGGCATGATGACATCATGAATACAGGGTAAGCAACTATTTGGGGACTACATTTGGTAGATATTAGTTTGGCAAGTAAAATACCACAAGTGTCAGTTCTTGGCCCTCAGTTATTTACAACCTATGTCAATGGCACTTAGTGTTCAAGTTTCTAGACTTTTTATCTTTTTTTTTCTGAGAATTGACTTAAGTTTATATTCCTGAAGGTTTCTTTTACAACAAGATTATTAATTAGCCTTTATTCATTACATAGTACTAGATCTAAAATAGCACATCCTCAAGCTGGCTCAACATGCTGCTCTAGAAAAACACCCCAAACGCACTTCAGAAATGCACCCCACACAGCTTCGGTGCTCAATTGAAATTACCCATGGTAAAGGTGTTACATGCTTCTCTCCTCTCCTGATTAATACCATGCTCCATAATAACATGACTATTTGGTGGCCTATAGATAACTCCAATCAATGTCTGTTGCATCTGAAGAGTGTGTGGACTCCCTTACTAGTCGTCAATGCATGGTAGGACTCTAGGAAGCACAGAGCATCAGAGGGACCCCGGTGCGCATACCCATTGATCCTTGAAGGCAATGAAACAGGTAGGTAAAGGGTATTTAAGAGGAGATATGGGGCACTTGTTTTTATTCGTAGAGTCATTGAATACTAGAATGGGAATGATGGAGATGTATAAAGGTGGTAATTAGATCACAGCTGGAGTACAGTGTGCAATTCCAGTTGCTATACAATAGGAAGGATGTGATTGCACCAGAGACAGTGCAGAAAAGATTCATCAGCATGCTCCCTTCCCTTCCTCGACATTTCTGTTTCCATTTCTGGGGATAGACTGGCCGCTAATATCCATTACAAACCCACCGACTCCCACAGCTACCTGAACTATACATCCTCACACCCCACTTCCTGTAAAGGCTCCATCCCATTCTCTCAGTTTCTCCGTCTCCGACGCATATGTTCAGATGAGGCCAACTTCGACAAGGGAGCCTCCGAAATGTCCGCATTCTTCCTCAACCGAGGATTCCCCAGCTCCGTTGTCGACAGGGCCCTCAATCGGGTCCGACCCATCTCCCGCACTTCTGCCCTCACCCCTTCTCTTCCCTCCCACAACAGCGATAGCGTTCCCCTTATCCTCACCTAACATCCCATCAGCATCCACATCCAGAAGATCATCAGACGCCATTTCCGCCACCTCCAGCAAGATGCCACCACCAGACACATATTCCCCTCCTCTCCCTTGTCTGCCTTCCGCAGGGACCGTTCCCTCCGGCACACCCTGGTCCACACTTCCTTCACCCCCAACACCTCCCCATAGCCGTATGGCACCTTCCCCTGTAACCGGCGCAGGTGCAACAACTGCGCATTTTCCTCCTCCCTCCCCAGTATCCAAGGGCCCAAACATACCTTCCAGGTGAAGCAACACTTCACCTGCACTTCCAAGAATCTAGTCTACTGTATTCGCTGCTCACAATGTGGTCTCCTCTACATTGGGGAAATGAAGCGTAGACTTGGCGACTGCTTCGCAGAACATTTACATTCTGCTCACAAAAAAAGACCCTGAACTACCTGTTGCCTGCCACTTCAATGCACCACCTTGCTCCCTGGCCAACATCTCTGTCTCCGGCTTGCTACAGTGTTCCAGTGAAGCCCAGCACAAGCTGGAGGAACAACACCTCATTTTCCGCTTGGGGACCCTACAGCCCTCCAGACTCAATATTGAGTTCAATAATTTTAGGAGCTAAACTCTCCCATGTCCCAGACTCCACCCCACACACCAGGCCTTGTTACCACATAGCCTGCCAGTACACACCCCCTGTTGTTAGTCACTAACAGTCCCCATTAACATCTATTCACCCTCCCAGCCTGATCGTTAGCAACTCCTTTGTCTGTCCAACTGTCTTTCTCTCTCTTTGGGCTCTATCCTATCGTTTACTCCCTACCCCACCCACCTCACTATTTTCTGCATATAAACTACGTTTTCCCTGCCACCATCAGTTCTGAGGAAGGGTCACCGGACCCGAAACATTAACTCTGTTTTCTCCTCCACAGATGCTGCCAGACCTGCTGAGCTTTTCCAGCAACTTTGTTTTTGTTCCTGATTTACAGCATCCGCAGTTCTCTTGGTTTTCATCAGCATGTTGCCCAGGCTGGAGTATTTCAGCAATGGAGAGAGACTAGATAGGCTCAGGATGTTTTCCTGGAACAGGGAAGGCTGAGGGAGGACTTCATTGAGGTATACAAAATTATGAAGGGCATATTTCAGGCAGGTTGGAAGAAAATATTCCCCTTAGTGCAGGGGTCAATAACCAGGGGCATTGATTTCAGATAAGGAGAAAGGAGGTCAAGAGTGGATTAAAGGAGGACTGATTTTTTTTTCCCCCCACCCAGAGTGTGGTTGGTATCTGAAACTCTATGCCTGAAAGGGTGGCAGAGGCAGGAATCCTCAAGAACCATTTAAGAAGCGTTTAGATGAACACTTGAAACCCCATTGCATTCAGGGCTACAAGCCAAGTGCTAGAAAATGGGACTAGAGTGGATAGGTAATTGATAACCAGTGCAGATGCAACAGACAAAGGGCCTCTTTCTGTGCTCTGTAGCTCTATGAAATGTTAATATTCAAGTGGACTTGGGTGCTTTTCATCCATGAATCAGTGAACATAAAAAGTACAACAAACAATTAGGAAAACAGATGTTATATTGGCCTCTTTTTTCACAAAGAAACTGGAGTAATAGAGTGAAGAATTCTTACTGCAATTTCACAAGACTTGGAATACTGTATACAATTTTGATTTCCTTAGCAAAAGGAGGTATATCGTAAGCTCAGAGTGAGTGTACCTCCATTGCTAAAAGCACTGTGACTATACACAACTCCCATAGAATCAACTGAACTTAGTGACGGACAATAGTGTTGTCTTCCCCACCTACACCCTCAACCCTGTCAGTGAATATTTAAAAAACAGGGTACATTAGACCAATTGTTGGAAGGGAGGTGTTGTCCTATGAGAAGAGACTGGACCTATGTTCCTTGAAATAAGGAAGAAATCTCAATGAAAAATGTTACAGCTGGCTGAGGCTCTGGAACTAAGAGTCAAAGTTCCAGAATAAGAGGTACTGTGTTCAAAAACAGAATCTCATTTAAAAATTTTTGGATCTTATGCATTCTATACAGAGGACTATGAATGCTGAGTGAGAAGATTGAAGGCCGAGATCAAAAGATTTTTGGATACTAAAGAGTATGGGGATCACGCAGAAAGCTGCAATTGGGGTGGAATATCAACCCTAACTGAGTGGAATGGTGAAACAGGCTTGAGCAGCTGAATGGTCCACTCCTGCTTCTGATGGCCTCTGAAGAGATTGTTCACTCAGTCCTGGCGAACATGACAATGTTAAACATCTATTTGTCAGTCAAAATTGCAATTTTTTTCTTATAAAGACTTAAAAAGATTTTTCTATTGACTCAATATTGATATTTGGTCCTCAAAATGACAGCATTTATTGGTATTACAATTATACATCCACTTTTAACAGCTCATTATCCTGAAACACGCATGGTCATTTAAAAATGGGGCACAACTTCAAAATGCATACCCTTAAAGTCAAATCTTACACCTGATATGGTTTGATTTCAATTTTTAAATCCATCTTTAAAGTCATGTTGTAATCATTGCTATATTTTCAGTGTTCCTAGTTTTGCTGCCACCTCATTATTTGATACGAGATAGGACAGTAAACTGAGCACAGTTGGTCAATCATCACTTTCGATCCCCTCGAAAACGAAGTTCCATGACTCATTTTATTCCATATATGTACCGCATAAGAATTTTTCAGTAACCTCTGAGCCTCAGACCTGCTCATTACCTCAAAGTATTTTTTCCAGTCCTGCCAACGAATTGGATAGAAAGCCTCAGGAGGTAACACCCTCACTCCTTTGCACTGTTGAATCTTGGCTATGCTCTTCTTTTGACACCACTTTTTAAGAACACGGGTTACTAACTGGGGTCCTTGGTGGCCCCAGATCCATGCATTGAAGTGCTCAACAAAATCCTTCAAACAGTTTCCAATAAAGTCATGGCCCCGATCAAAAGACAAAAAGGCTGTATTCAGTAAATACCGTTCTTCTTTGCCAAGGCTGTTGGTGAGATTGAACAGATTTTTGAGAACAATAATGTCCGTGTCTAAGTAAATCCCACCGTATTTCCACAAAAGGACAAGTCTGCAGGCATCAGCGATGGTTGGTATTAGATAAGGTTGCCACCACTGGTGCAGTCTGGAATACCACAAAGACAATGGAGTGTCTGCGAAAAGATCTTTCAGGTCTAATGGCCTGATCTCAACATTAGGAAAACAGTTTAGCAAGGAAATCCCAAAGGTTTTAGCTTTTGCAGCTGAAAGACCCTTCATGTAAAAGACAATCTTGGCCCTGGGATGAGATCTTGCTGCAGATTCCACAGAACACAAGGACAAAAAAGTGGGATTAGTTCGGTCAGAGACCTCCACAAAGAAAATAGTTGTATTATCGTAAGCATGGTAGTCACCATCTGTACCATTATTGAAGTCAATGGATGGACATTTGATGTTATTGGCTAACCTATATTTTATAGGTAGACTTTGGGCACCACCTCTGTAGTACAGCATTAATGTCAACGATACCAATTTGAGCAAAATCAAACTATATATCCATAACTTACACCATAAATTATTTTTTGCTTTATTCTTTGATACTAAATATCTCTTAATGAAATTCTGCTGCTGCTTCTGCTTGTCATTAGATGACTTTATGGAAAATTGGCTCATTTTTGTAACCATTGCGAAACAATGTTCAAATTTTCAACGTAGATTCTTCTGCAGACAAAAGACAAATATTATCTTTGGTTTTCCAAGTTATTAACACTTTTTAAAAAATAAATAAAAGCAGAGCAAAATTAGCAACTACTAAAAGCAAATTCAATAAATGGCAATTATGCTATTGAGAGAAAACAGAAAACGCAATAAAAATCATATAATCCACCTTATATATTCAAACAGAACAACATTTGAAAGTATATCGCAAGAAGAAATTGCGAACTGTACACTTATTATATTTCTCTTGATACAGTTGGTGGACATTCACAGGGATTCACTTGGGGTTTTACAAATAGGATCAGGATTAAAGCTGGGACTGAGATCATGAGGTACTTCTGTGATGGTTTTTGACCTAGAAGCAGTAACAGTAAATGTTGATTACTTTAAAGATGTTTGAGGAGTGTGTGTTTTAAAGCTTTTGAAAGTAACTTTTAAAGTGTTTAATTGCGAAGGAGTCAAGCATCATTTTTGGTTGGTGTATTGCAGTGACTATGGACTTGGAAGCAGTATCAACAGGAAGGAAGTTCAAATATAAAGGCTATATTCCAGACAGGCACAGGCAAGCTGAAACAGAGTCAGATTCCTGAGCAGTTAAATACGTTTAGGCCATCTAACCCTAAATGATTCACTCCTAACTGATCAAATGCCCAGAATTCAGCCACATGGAATGTCAGTTCTGATGTATTTAAGCTAACATAACTATGGAATCTGAGAGTTCAGAACATCCTGGAAAGAAGCCGACCATTGTATGGAAGATTGCATAGGTGGAATCTCATTTTCAAAGAATTGGCAAAGATTTGGCCAAGTTGTTATGATGTGAGCTGATGGCACTATTGGACAACCCAGAGTGAAACATGGCTTGACTAATCAAGATTTTTATTTTTGTAGGTTGGTTAACATGGTGGTTACTCATTGAACAGATTCACACAAGGCTATAGAAACAAATAGCCATTAACAATTGTTCTTTAAGGCATATGTTAGGTCCCAAAACTCTCCAAGACACTTCCATGCATCAATTAAAAATGAGCAGAGACAAAAATTCACCCTGTGGTACCTCATTATCTTAGTAAACTAACTTTATAGCTCATTACTAACAGAGAAATTCAGTAATAAGATGCTCCCACAAGTGACTGACATCTCAGAAAGCCAGTTAGATGATAACAGAAAAGGATATCAGTAAGATGATCATGGTTCTTAAACCAATTAGGCATATATCACGCCAAGCAGCATCAGAGGAGCAGGAAAGCTGACCGCTGACGTTTCGGGTCAGCTTTCCTGCTCCTCTGATGCAGCTTGGCCTGCTGTGTTCATCCAGCTCTACACCTTGTTATCTCAGATTCTCCAGCATCTGCAGTTCCTGCTATCTCTAAGCATATATCACCTTGCCAGTCTGCGACTGCTCAGCTGTTGTTCATAGAGTCACACAGCATGGAAACAGATGCTTCAGTCCAACCAGTCCACGCTGAATATAATTCCAAACCTGCCTGCTCCTGGCCCATATCCCTCCAAACCTTTCCTATTTATATACTTATCTAAGTGTCTTTTAAATGTTGTAACTGTGCCCGCATTAACCACTTCCTCTGGAAGTTCACTCCACATACAAACCACTCTCTATGTATAAAAATTGCCTCTCATGTCTTTTTTAAATCCCTTTCCTCTCACCTTAAAAATATGTTCCCTAGTCTTGAAATCCCACAATCCTAGGGGAAAGACACCTACCATTAACCCTATCTATACCCCTCATGATTTTATAAACCTCTATATGGTCACCTTTCAACCTCCTACGCTTCAGTAAAAAAAAAAGTCCCAGCCTAACCAGCCTTTCTTTATAACTCAAACCATCCATACCTGGCAACATCCTGGGTAAAAGTCTTCTGAACCCTCTCTAGTTTTCAGAGATGCCACCAATCCTGCACAGATGGAGTGCCGGTAAGTTTAATAAGCAGCAATACTTTGCAGGCAGGCACCCAAATTCAGAAGTGCTCAGTGAGCCTCAAGTCACCAGCTAGTGCCTTGCTGTTGACTGATTAAATCCACTGCCTTATTCATTATCATTCATGGTAAACTTACTAAATTCTACGAAACATGTAAAAACACTCATGCCCAAAATGGTTTGGAACTAGTCAGGATCTTTTAGGGCTGTCTATATTTTAATTATAAACTTTAATCAATGACAAGTTGAATTGACAACCCCAGCCCTCATAGTTCTTTATTATTACTGGGGAGAAGTCTAGTGCGAATTTTGGTAAAGCCAAGAGCAGCCTGGTTCCACACATTGAAACTTAGCAGTCTACGTACCAGTGGAGTTTGTTCAATGTAGAATTAAGACCCAAATTCTACTAGGTGTCATTAGCCAATTAATTACAAGCGACAGGGAATAAAGGCTTAATCAAGGGTTCTCATTCTAGAGCTCAATCAAATAAAGACTGGTGGCTCTCATGGCCAGATCCTCGTCCTTAAATCTAACCATCACAGAGTTTTCTTCAGCTTTAATGGAAAGAGGGAGTTGCTAATATCCAATTAGGACCTTATCCAGACAGAGCATAATCCAAAGGTTATCTGTGTACCACATGCATGCATCTTGTGTAATGGTACATTCTGAATCGAGCTGCCACCTTACAACTCAAATCTGTCCAATAAATACTTCCAGCTTTGACCAGTTCTGAACGGACAAGGGAAAGAGTCAAGTTTAGTAACAAAGACTGCAACATTTTCCTACCCAAATCTTCACTGCCTTGCAAGAGCTTCTGAAGCAAACATCAGCTCCGGGTCCATCCCCCTGAAGATGTTCAGACTATATTCAAGTGGAAAGAACAGCAAATAATATCAACAAATGCTACAGTTTACAGAGAGCTATGAACAACACTTTGTTCTGTGGAAACATTACTAGAGAAGCTCAATATTAGATATGCGCCACCAAATAACATGGGGAGTTAGTGGTAGATACCATGCTGTGTTAACTTACCACTTCTGACTCAACTTATGGTCCTAGACTAATTTTGTCCATTAAGTTTTCTCATAAAGATACAAATCTGGTTCAATAAAAAAAAAGCTTGAGACTCTGAAAGCAATTTGAGAGCAATTGGTTAATCCTGGATATTCAATCTTCTTTAAAAGATGTTGTAAGAAAGAAGGCTTTTCCTCATGTCCAGTGGAACTAACTCTGTTTTCTAGTCTTCATGGAACTGACTAATCAATTGGGCTGTTCTAATGCAGCCACTTACATCATGAGAATGGTCATTGAAAGGTGTGGTAGTGAATTTTAGGACCAACTCTCATAGATACTTGATGTACTGAGGCTTCAATTCAGTCAGTTCCTCATTAACTGGCTTTCTTCAGGCTTTGGATGGTCACTTTTTTACTGCAGAAACACAGACAGCACCTTTATTTGCAAAGGTCAGGAGGCTTCAGACCATCTCATTCAGATCCACAAACTGCTCTGCTACCTGGAAACCAACCATACAGTTAGTGGCAGACAGCCCTCATCCAAATCTCTGACCAAATCTCATTTTGTACATAGACCCCCATGCAGCCAGTTCATTTGCAACTAAACGTCCACAACTGCTTTAATAAATACCAGTATAAACAGGAGTTATTGCAAGTGCTGGTAGCTTGCTTTTAAAAAGTACAGAAACACCTTCCACAATCCTTGGTTTTTTGAAAGAGCCTCTTTCCCATTTCAGTCCACATCAAAAATGCAGAAAAATGAAAAGCTACGGTCTTTTTATGCCTCCATCCTTCTAAGATGAAACACCATTTCAAACACACATTTATCACAACATATAAATCATGACCAACGCCACAAGACTTGTATGTATGCAGCCTTCCTTCCCCCAACACAATCTTAGGATTTCCCAAACTTTTAACTCATGCCTATATTTTCCACTCAGGAGAAGGCATTCTCACTTACATTATATTTTCCAATGTGGATGAATCTTTACATTAAACAATTGGAACAAAAGACTCCATCTGAATAGAGTCACATTTAGAATTTTAACCTTCTCAATGAAGGACTTCAAAAGTAATAAAGAGCCAACAACAATTTCAAAGTCTTTTTTTTATGGTAGAGTACTTATTGGATTTAGTTTCTCCACTCCTGACTTATCATCCAGCAATAAAACAGCACCTACTTCCAAATCATTAGCATCTGTTTACATATTGAAAGGTCTAGAAAAACAAGGGGCAGCTAACACTGGTTATTAGGAATTACCTTCAATTTCTCAAAGGCGGCCTGGCATTCTACTTAACATATCATTTTTGCATATTTCTTTAAGAATTTTTAGAAAAAATGTTACAGCTATTGTGCTAAAATTGGGCACAAATTGCCAGAGAAACCCATACATTTCTAAACATCTCAAGTTTTTTCATTTAGTTTTAGAACAGAGTATTCTATTAGAGTCTTCACTTTCACTATTTTTGGCAACACTTGTCCTTGTCATATGATATGTCCAGGTAAATTACTCCTGCTTCCATTAATTCATTTTTCACTTTTGGCAGCTTTAATTGACCTTGAGCTATCTTACAGGCTCCTGAGAATCTTTCTAGAAAGGTGGACATGTAATCCACCATTGAGGATGTATATTTTCAGTTCAAGAATTTCTCCCTAAACAGTTTTAATAGACCTTTAATCTCACGACTATGGTAACAAATTTAATCCTTCATTCCAATCCTCTGGGTATAGGCTTTAATCACTGTTTTGACAGTCTGATATTATCTCTCTAAAGTTCCTTGTGTTTACAGATGACAAGCAAGTGACTTCAATTATTTTATGCTCAAACTGTTATTGATTTCCCGGGAAAATAAAAGTTTTGGAAAGTTAGAGCCTTGAGCAGGTTGCATCTCAGTTGGTACTCCATAAGTAGAAATAAAGCAGAGCTAACTTCTCCCACCAGTATCCTAGCTTTAATCATCCCTAAAAGGAATAGCCTCTGGAAAATTGGGTTCTCATCTCCACAATTGTAAGGATATATTGATGGCCTGATTTCATTTTTAGATATGTTCCTACACAATCTTAACACTCAACTAAACGGTTCAAAAACTGATAAGGGTGTCAAAGGTGTGGTTTGTTTATATTTTGAGGTTTCCATACTAAATCTTTCACGGAACCATACCATGTCTTTATGATGTCTTGGCGCTTGCTGTTTCTATATTTCCACATCTGCCATAGGGATTTCATGTGTTACTTATGTTGAAGAAAGGGAATAGGGATAACCCTGGGAATTATAGACCAGTCAGTCTTACTTCTGTGGTGGGCAAAATATTGGACAGGATTCTGAGAGTCAGTATTTATGATTATTTGCAGAAGCACAGTTTGATTAGAAATAGTCAGCATGGCTTTGTGAGGGGCAGGTCATGCCTCACTAGTCTTATTGAATTCTTTGAGGATGTGACAAAACACATTGCTGAAGGTTGAGCAGTGGATGTGGTGTATATGGATTTTAGCAAGGTGTTTGATAAGGTTCCCCATGGTAGGTTCATTCAGAAAGAAAGGAGGCATGGGATTCAGGGAAATTTGGCTGTCTGGATACAAAACTGGCTGTCCAATAGAAGACAGAGGGTGGTGTAGATGGAAAGCTCAGTGACCAGTGGTATTCCACAGGGATCTGTCCTGGGACCTCTGCTCTGTGATCTTTATAAATGACTTGGATGAGGAAGTGGAAGGGTGGGTTAGTAAGTCTGCCGATGACACAAAGGTTGGTGGAGTTGTGGACAGCATGGAGTGCTGTTGTAGGTTGCAATGGGACGTTGACAGGATGCAGAGCTGGACAAAGAAGTGGCAGATGGAATTCAACCTGGAAAAGTGTGAAGTGATTCATTTTGGAAGGTTGAATTTGAATGCAGAATACAGGGTTAATGGCAGGATTCTTGGCAGTGTGGAGGAACAGAGAGATCTTGGGGTCCACGTCCATAGATCTCTCAAAGTTGTCACCCAAGTTTATAGGGTTATTAAGAAGACGTATGGTTTTTTGGCTTTCATTGGCAGGGGAACTGAGTTTAAGAGCTGCAATGGTATGCTGCAGGTCTGTAAAACCCTGGTTCGACCACACTTGGAATATTGTGTTCAGTTCTGGTTGCTTCATTATAGGAAGGTTGTGGAAGCTTTAGAGAAGGTGCAGAGGAGATTTACCAGGATGCTGCCTGGACTGGAGGGCAGGTCTTATGAGAAAAGGTTGAGGGAGCTAGGGTTTTTCCCATTGGAGCGAAGAAGGATGAGAGGTGACTTGATAGAGGTGTGCAAGATGATGACAGGCATAAATAGAGTGGATAGCCAGAGACTTTTTCCCAGAGTGGAAATGGCTATCATGAGGGGCATAATTTTATGGTGATTGGAGGAAGGTATAGGGGAGATGTCAGAGGTAGGTTCTTGACACAGAGAGTGGTGGGCGTGTGGAATGCACTGCCAGTGGTGGTAGTGGAGTCAGATACATTAGGGACATTTAAGCGACTCTTGGATTGGGACATGGATCATAGTAAAATGAAGGATATGCAGGTTAGTTTTATCTTCGAGTAGGATAATAGATTGGCACAACATCGTGAGCCAAAGGGCCTATACTGTGCTGTACTGTTCTATGTTCTATCTCTTTACGATATCTGGGTGGAACCACTATTTGATAAACAACTGTCCATTTTTCATCTGTAGGTCTGAGAGGATGAGCTCATCACAATTCTGTTTCTAATACAATAACCTTTTGGAATTCCATTAGCCTCAGTTTCAGTGTGAGCTGTCTGTGCTAACTTATTTAACCCTGGATTTGCTTCCTGAGTTTCAGTTAATGAAACATGCCCAACACTTCTTTTGAATTCTCCTCGTTTTAAGAGTTTAAGCTGCTCCAGCATTGGCTTGCAGTATTCCTATGAACTCTGTTACTTGGACTTGTTTAGCTATTGTTTTGGTAACCACACATGATGGAAGAACAACTAGAACCCATTCTTCCACAGGTAATTTCTAAGATTCCCCAACTACCACTGGACAATGGAACTATACTCTCCCCCTTAGCCATTTAACAACACATTGACTGTCATTCAACTGTCTGGGAGGGAAAACCAAATCTTTTTCCTGCACTCTTTTGTATTGTTATAGATATGGAGGCTTTATTTGAAGAAAAAAGGGATGATCTTCCCTTTTGACAAAACCCTTCATTTCTCTCACGTCCCCAATGCACCTCTTTTACACTCACAGCAGTGTTTACCTCTGGTCTCTTAGTTGTAGTTAAAGCTACAAGCTGATCTGTGACTTTTTCGGATGCATTCTTACGAGCTCCAAGAAGTCCCATTTGTTTCCCTCATTCCAGTATTCTGAACAAACCACTTAGGTGACAATAGAAACACCTTGGCTTCAATTTTCACTTCCACCCTCAACACTTTCCTTCTGATCCAAGGAGACCTTGAGGCATTCCAACCATCCATTCTTTACCCTGGCTACATGTGTTTCTTTCACTCTTCCATTGTCTATCCCTTTTGAATTGGAAGGTAACAAAAAAGGTTCAGGTTTATGGAGTAGCTCATAAATCAATAGCATATCTAGGAGTTGCAACCCTTAGGAACTCAACATGGGGTCTTACTGTGAAACGTTGACAGTTTTGAAATTCCTCAAACAGAATCATTTCTCTAAGAGCTTCATGCATGGTTTCAGCTTTGACTGCTCATATCCACCTGTTAAAATTTATTTGCATAATCCTTTTGAATTCAATTAGGATTGCTTGGGCTGTTTCTGTAAATTCCAATGCAACTCCAGCATTCGTTCGGATGCTGCCAATATAGTTTTTTTTAAGAAAGCAGCATCAGAATCCTGAG